CATATGATATTCTTAATCGCCATCTACATAAGCCTACTGGCGTCCCAGAAGACGTAAATACCGACTACAACAAGTTGATCATCACTCCTTCGTTTGATGAAGAGTCAGAGGAATACAACCATCTTAACATGACGTCACTAAAATTGGATGAAAACGTCACTGATGATCCTAGATATGGGAAATTGGAGATGAAACCGATTGCCGGTTCGAAAAAACCTACAGCTAAACCCATTGATGGTTACGAAGAAACTTTGCCAAGTTTGCCAGACGATGATCCGGTTTCCCCCAAGCCCAATACTTAAGTCGAGAACACACTGCGCCGACGGTTGGTGGTCGATGCGATTCTCACAGTGAACACAATTCGACGGATTGTTTTAAATAATGACGATCCGCTCAGTCTGGCACTCTGACAATCAGCAGACGGCGTCGCGTCGTCAGGTTTTACGATACTCAGTCATCCCATGTTTGCAAAAGAAGGAGCAAATTAAAAAAAAAATGCATAAGTTCAACTTCAAATAGTTTGTTGCAAATCGTTTTGCAACATTTATGCCGCACTGTATAATGCCTTTTTTTTTGTAAATATAGATATGCACTTGTTTGTAGGTAATAATGTAGGTAAATATCTCACTCTGGTTTCTTATATTTAACTCGTATCACACAGTGGCGTATCTAGGAGAATGCGGGCGCGCAAAGCTCGCACTTCCCCTAGTCGCACACCCCACCCACACTAATTGAAAATGTCCGAAGCAAAAATTCACTCTCAAGTAGTTAAACTTCAGTTGAGATGTAAGTTGGTGGTTAAGAAACTTGCATTTCAATCCAAGGGTCCTGGGTTCAAATCCTGTGACAGCGCAGGTTTTTTTTTGCTCACTACCAAAATCATATCCCGACTCCTTAAGCCTCGCGTAATGAGCTTCTGCTGATAAAGCATCATATATTTACATTTATTTAAAAGAAACCCTGAATATCAGCCGAACTTCTTGGATACGCTGGTCACATTCTATATGTTTATAAAAAAAAATCACCTTATCTTGCGACCTAGCTCCACCTTACTAAATCACTGAGCAACGCCCCCAAATCCACCTTCACATCCCCATCCGCTATCACCCATTTCAAACTCCTAGATACGTCACTGGTATTTCATATTTGTGGTGTTTATATTTTACATAGTTTAAATACTATTTGGATTAAAACCATTTTGCAACTTTACGTAAAACGTGTTTTAGATAATTTCAGCTTGTATACAAATTGTTTTCTATACGAAACATTTTTCTTATGGTGTATAATTTAATTTTATTGGTAGGCCCATGTGTCTTAAACAAAAATTAAAATTAAAAAACACCCATTATTAATTTGTCAGTTAAAAAGGTAATCACTGATTTTAGGCAATTATTGACAATTTTGAGAACAACAATCGTGTTCATTATAGAAGAACTTAATGTAAGAATTTCGTACGTTTATGCTCAGTGTTTTATGTAGCTACATAAATATCTAAAATAACAATGGACTTTTCCAGAGTGCCAATCAAACTTAGCAACTGGACAATCAGAACAGAGCCAGGAATACGCACGTGTCCAATAAGCTCACGTGTTGTCCACAAACGCACGTGTTCGCGTATGTTGAAACAGTAGGGAACATTCGATTGCACACGACGACGGTAGGACGTAGGACGTAGAACGTAATAACGTTACAACATTCTCGCATGCGATCGTTATAATTATCGTGGCATGGATTCTAGGAGGCAATTTGGCCAAATCAACGTATGAAGAGAACGTAGACATGCTGGTAGGACGGTCACGCATGAGTGATTCCGTTCTAGCGCCGCTTCGTCGCGCAAATCGAAAGCTCCCTAGTACTGTCGTTTTGTGGGACTTTGGCTTCATTCCAAACCATTCAAATGTGGAGAAAATAACTGTTAGGCATTGGAATACTCACTCTGTTTGCAATAAAGCATGGTATGTGAAAACATTATTGAAAATTTCATTGATCTTATGTTTCTTGCTCAAAACTTGGCTTGCCAAGGATGACATGACAAAAATTGGTGAATTGACATCCCTGGCTAAAGCTTAATTTATTTTCCCCGCTATTTAGTGGCGTAACGATGGGACCGGTGGCTTTTTGAGAGTGGGCGCCTTTCGGGTCCCGGTCGCCAGTTCCATTTTAGATTTTAAATGTACTATTTTTTAAATTATGTTTTTCATTGCATTTTAAATGTTTTTAACGACAAAATAAATAATATGATATGAGCGAATCCACAAATGTTTAATAGTGCCCAGAGATGCTTTCACTGATAAAGGGGAAATACCACATCAGCCCCACCATAGTTGGGGCTGAGGTAAGAAAATGTATGTTTACTACACCTTTAAATCTCCAGAAATGGCACTCACAGTCTTAAAATTTCAAAAAAATGTAGGGGCCCCTTTAATTCGCCACAGGCAGCGGCGTGGTAGGTGCGAAATGGCCCCAGTGCAATATTGCCGGGCCCTTTGATGTGATAGGAATTCCCTAAAGTTCTCAGAGAATTAATTGCCTCTTTTACCCCCTACTCTAGGTTAGTTATAAGTACTAATGATAATCTCACTATTTTAAGAGGGGCATATATTCGGTCTCAGCAGCTGTTGTAAAATAATCAGCAAAATAGATGGCACGTGAAGTTAAACAATTGCAATGCCGCGGATCAGGGAATTCGAAGTAAAGGGGCAAGGGAGGGATTTACACCGGTGGAAGATGAAGACCACCTCAGCCCCTCTATGGTGGTGGCTGAGGTAAGAAAATTGATGATTATAGCACCTCTAGATGGCGC